GCGCCGTCGCTGCAGACGGCCGCCCGGCTGGCCTGGCTGGTGACGCGTCTGGAGACGGAGGGCGAGGCGCACCGCGGCCGGCTGGTCAAGGCGGTCGAACAGGCGGTGGTCGGGCTGAGCTGGCCGGCCGCGAGGGGCGAGCCAGAGGCGGGCGTTGGTGGAGCCGCGAGTGTCGTGTTGTCGCGGCTGCCGCGCGACTGGGCCGACCGGCTGGCCGAGCTGGTCAGGCAGGTCGGCCGAGCCCGACTCGAGAGCGCCTCGCGCGCCGACGACTGGCGCCTCGCGGCGCAAGAGATGAGCGCAGCCACTGGCGCCGCCGCGCGTCTTGAAGAGGAGGCCTGTGCGCTGGTCGCCTTGGCGACAGGAGACGGTGATGTCGGGCAAGCTGAGGAGGCGGTGGCGGCTGCGCAGCGGCTGCGCCGAGCCGCCTTGCCCGGCCTGCAGGAGCGCGTGTCCGGACTGGCCAGTTCGCAGGCGGGCCAGTTGACGGGCGAACGCAGCGCCGACGCGCCAGTGCCGGCGTTGGCCGCGCTGACGCGCGCTCTTGACGCGGCCCGGTCGGCCGTGGACGCGGCCAACCGGGCGGCCGGCGATCGGCTGGCGGGCTGGCGGCGCTTCGAGGCCGCGCTGGGCGGCGCGGCTGAGGCGCTGCGCGAGGCCGAGACACGACGCCGTCGGCTCGCCGCGTCAGCGAGCCCCGCGGACAAGCGCGCGCGGCTGGAGGCGCGCTTGGCCGACTTGCGCCAGCTGGCGGCCGACGCGACCGACGCGACCGGCGCGGCCCAATTCAAAGTTGCCGTCGCCAGTTCGGAGGCGGTCGATGCCTCGCCGGCGGCTGCGCCAGCAGCACAGCCCGGCAGCCTCGCGGCCGCCGTCTCCGAAGCTGCTGATTGGCTGAGCCGACTGCGGCCTGCGCGGCTGCCCGCCGCCTGGACAGCGCTGGGCGTGTGTCTGGCGAACCACGCAGAAGCCTGCGACGCGCTCGTCGCACGACTCGCCCAGGCCCAAGCTCGAGCGGCCGACTGCAGTCAAGCGGCCGACTGGCTCGAGGCCGAGCTGTCCGAGCTGACCGCGTGGCTGTCCGAGACGCAGGCCGGCCTCGAGAACGCCCCCGTCGCCCTCACGCTTCGGCCACACGACGCCGACGCCGACGCTGACGCCGGCGGGGTGTCGGTGAGGCGCCGCTTGATGGAGGAACTGGAGGCG